GCAGCCTTTTCAGGGTTTTAAAAAAAAAAGAAGCCAGAAACATGCGCTGGAAATGCGTTCAGTGTTTGTGAAGGCGCAGAGAATTAGAAAGAAGGCAGGAAGGAGAACACACACAAGTGTCGGAACTGAATGAACGAGAGGGAAGAGTTTAAGATGGCTGGCCGGGGAGATAAGTGTTAGGAAAGATTCCTTGCTCCTTCTCTCCTTCCCTTCCCTCCCCCACAACCCACTTCGCGGAAGTGGGGGGGGAGAAAAGAGAACAAGAAAAACAAAAGACATGTTTTCTTGCACCGAGAGAAATCCACAGCGCGAGAAGACTCCTTTTTATTTTTGACTGGTGTTCACTCTGGAGGGTTGACTTTCTGAAGGGAGGGAGTGACTTCGTGGTTTTGTTGTGAGATGTCAAGACTCCTTTTGCCAACTTCTGAATCTTCGCTTGTTTCCTGGGAAGCCTGGTGTTTTGTTTTTTTTTAATTTGGCCTGTCTCGTGGGGGGGGGGCACTCTGCCCTCGCGAAGGGTTAAAGGCAAAATGAAGAAAGTTAATAATGGTTGCTAATGGCTCCTAACAATTCAGGCTGAATTTTGTGAAAAGTTTGGTGTATGTTTTTTTTTAACTCTCTCTCTCTCTCTCTCTCTCTCTCCCTTCCCTTTTCCTCCCCTTCTTCTGGAAGTCTCCGTCTTTTGATTGTGTGTTTCCTGAAAGCAAGGCCAATCATTTCAGTTTATTCACTGGCTAAACTCGACTTGATTGGGGACAAGCATACAAACCACCCATTACGATGTGATATATTATCCAAACAATTTAGTGTATTCATGAGGTAACCTAAATGTGGAGGCTGCAAAATTACCCGTAATCAATTGAAACAGCGAGTGCACGTCCCTCTGGGTGTCTAACAACTACAACCCCCCCTCCCGTAATAAGGGAGGCATTAAATCACTTTAGAGTTGCACTGTGGAGTACCTGATCATTGGGGCTTAGGGAAGCTGGACACTCGCGCTAGGACGCTGGGGTTGAGGAAGCGGCAGATTTCCTGCCACTCCATCAGAAGCAGCACCGACCCCTCGTCTTCCCAGGGACTTGCCTGTTACTCACCGATCTGACCATAAGCCGTGCAATACCCAACACACAGACTTCTCTCCTCTTTCTTCCTCCCCGCCTCCTTCCTTCCTCTCCCTCTCCCTCTCCCTCTCTCCTCTCTCCTCTCTCTCTCTCTCTTTTACTTTTCCCCCCCAAACCCATATTGCACTACATGTTTGGGAAACAAGACAAAATGGACGTTAGATGCAATTCCGAGATTGAAACCAACCGGGTATCCAAAAACGGACATAAAGAAAACAAGGAAAGCAAAGGATCCTCCGAAGGAAATATTTCGACTTCTTTTTTAAAGGATCAACAAGGGACTTTTTCGGCTTCCGGGGTCTCAGAAGACTGCAGTAAAAATAAATCCAATTCTGCTGACCCGGATTATTGCAGAAGGATCCTAGTCCGAGGTAGGAGTGTCGCGTTATGTCGACCGGGTCTGAAATCCCTCCCTTTTCTTTTTCTCTCCCCCCCGCCCCACCTTATAATCAAACAAATTCTTGAGATTTTTTTAATACCCTTCTGCCTTCTCTACATCTGTTTCACGGTATTCTTGGTTTGTTCCACACCTCTAGGGACATTTTAGTATTTAGAACTGCTGGGTGGAAACTGGAAGACCAACTGTAGGGGTTTTGTTTCGTTTTGACTTGTTTTGATTTGATTTTTTTGGTCCTTGTTTCTTTAGTTGTCGGGGCTGGGTGTTTTCTTTTTCGGGGAAAGGGGCACCACGATCTCTTTAGCGTGTGCTCCTTGCCGCTCGTATCTTTGCTTTACCTCCGGAGAATTGGGTGAATGACAAGTCTACACAATTGCCAAGACCCCTTGCTGTACGCGTGGATTCCAGCTGGCGTCCGGCACCTCGGAGTAAGACCCATTTAACTCAATGGGACTGACTTCGCCATTGCAGATCTTTGGGAGAGCCTGCCAGTCTGAAGTGTCAAAAAGCAGTGGCGTTGTGGCGGGGTTGCAGGGAGGCGGGAAAACAAAAGGAGGAGGAGGAGGAGGAGGAAGAGAAGCCTCCTATATTGACATATTCAGAAGTACACAAGAATGCTTCTGTTTATGTAACTCTCTCCCTTTCTCCCTACTCTTTCCTTCCTTCCTTGAAAGGGGCAAGAAGCTGCTTCTTCTGAATCCGCTGTAACAACTCGTAGGAAACCCCCCCTCTTTTTTTCCCTAGTCCTGTGCTGTTTACCTGCACCTGCACCTAGGCGAAAGGTTGGATCAAATATTTTCAGAAGTTCCTTTTAAAAGGTGCAAAGTCTTCCTTCGATTGTTGTCCTTTAAGAATAACGACACGTGTTTAACACCCTTAAGAAAAGACATCTGTTTATTCAATTTAAACCTTTTCCCTTAAAGTGAAGGATGTGGTTTTTCTTTCTTTTCTTTTGCTATTTGATGATTCCCTAAATCATCCTCCTTATCTCCGGTCTCCCGGCCTCCACCTATCCAATGCAATACAGTAATTTTGCAGGATGCTTTTAAAAAGAGAGAAAGAGGTTGAATTGTGAAATATCGGTTCATGGATCGTTTCCTGTTTTAAAAAGAGGCTATCGAGAGAAAGGTGAGTAAAACAGGCCCAGTAAACATGATTTAGTGCGGCTCGACCAGCTGAAGCCACCCCTCCCCACGTAGGCAAGCATACGCTGGGAAAGGAAAGGTCTCTTTTTAAAAACTGGAGTTCTGCCGCTTCCAGGGTTTGTTGGGAAAGTAAATCGAGTGTCGTCCGAATGGAGTTTTGACGTGACAAGGCGGGAAGAAGATAACGCAGTGCCTTGCTGAGATCCAGGCCGGCAGAGAAAACGGGTCGGCAATGGGAGAGGGGCCGGAGCTGTAGACCAAAAGGCAGCCAGTGGCAAAGGAGGTGACCCGGCGGGGTGAGATGAGCCGGGGAGGTGAAAGGTGCAACGCTTCGTAGTTGCCTTGGGCGCCTGCATGGTGACCACCGAGCCAGCCCAGGTAGCTATGACCATTTTGCCACTAAAACAAGAAGGCAGAGAGAGGAGTTTCCGCGATTAGGCCTTGCCCGTGGGGATTCTGATTTCCTTCGCGAAATCCGGGTTCAACACGGGTGGCCTTTTGTAATGCTGGTATATCTTCAAAGTTCATGTATGTGTGGTATCGGGGGCCCTTGGCATCCCAGCGTCCTTTCTTGAGATGGGCGGCCTTTGAAGGGCCTGATCGGGGCATGGATCAAGGTTGGGAGCTCCGTAGAGGCGTCAGCTCAGGTCGAAAGATTTGCTTCTCCGAGCAAACCTTATACATGCCTGCCTGCCTGCCTTCCTTCCTTCCTTCCTTCCTTCCTTCCTTCCTTCCCCGGATCTAAAAGTGCCCCCCTCTCTCTTTGCCAGATGCCAAAGGTTCCATAAGAGAGATCATTCTCCCGAAAGGGCTGGATCTGGACCGGCCGAAACGGACCCGGACCTCTTTCACCGCGGAACAACTTTACAGGCTTGAGATGGAGTTCCAGAGGTGCCAATACGTGGTCGGACGGGAAAGGACCGAGCTGGCCAGACAGCTCAATCTCTCAGAAACTCAGGTACACAAGGGCGAGAGAAACCCACCTTACCCCACCCCACGCAGACGGTGGGGTATTGAAAGAGCCTCCGCGGGATGTAGAGGCTCCAGGACAGAGGCCAGCGTTCAATGCATACCGCCCCGTTAGGATGATTATTGGGGGACTCCCGTGCTGCCAGAGTTGACCTGAGGTAACACCGTGACGACTTCAGGCCCTGACGGGATCGATCCAAGTTTTCCGGATAAACACCTTTGACAAAGACATTGCCCCGGTCTAGAGCGCAAGTCAGTTTTTCCTTCCCACGGACTTAAAGTTACCGTTACTGGCGGAAGGTTTTTTTCCCCCTCCCCAGTTCGTTTAATGAGAATTATTTGCATTTGTAATATCCTAGATGCTTTTAAAAAAACAAACAAAAAAAAAACCTCACCTCAGATATGGTGCGCGCCTACATTTTTGCCAGAACAAAAGCGAGGCGGCTTCAATGTAGGTGGCATTTCGGTGTGTTCGAAATCGGGGTACTCAGAAAGGGTTAGTTTCAATGAGATGTGTAAACTGCACTCTTAAATTGGAGGTACGCATAAATAAGGAAATAGATTTGTCTAGAGTTAAGGCCCATTGTATTCCAAATTGCATTAGATTTGCCAGCGTAATTCCCCCCCCCCAACGGTCACCTTTGAGGAATAATACCCCTTCTCTCGATAGTCAAAATAAGTGTCGCTGAAATAAATGCAAATTTATTTCAGCGCCCCTTGGCGTAAAATATCTCAGAAGCCTAAGGCTGCAAGGTGCCAGGGCTTTGCAAAAGTCAGGAAAAGCACAGAAACAAAATAAAATCTGGAAGACCTTTGGAGATCTCACGGCAACTGGAGATCACCGTCTTTCAGGACAGCGCAGTCTTTTATCGATTTACTCGAAAGCAAACTCCCACCGTGTCTAATACAGGTTGTCCCAGAGGTGGAAAACAGAGATCTAACCTAAGAAGAGTAAGAAAATGTCTAGTGGACGTTTTCGCTTAGAGAGGAGAAGGCAAGGTTGGTTTAATAGTCTGGCGACGTTTAATGCCAGCACTTACTTGGCAAGGGTTTAGTGGCCGTGGCGGCGGCGGAAGCCGCAGCAGCTGGACGGCAACCCTGCTTTCGCCCATTCCAGAGGCGAACTTGTTTCTTTAACAGAGCAGGTAAAAGTTCCGCCAGCTGGAACCGTGCCCTGTGATCCTGATCCAGACCTTTCCTCCGAGTGGTCTGCTGTCAGAGGTTAGGATTATTTGCTCGGAAGCATGTATGCCTCGTGGGTGGCATGAGGGAGCCCCTGCTCCGCTCCGGAGCCACCTACCCCACGGGCTTCCATGGGTCTTACTCCCCAAGCCAGTTTGTGTGTGTGTTTATTAGGGGAAGGTGTTACAGGACTGCAGTGAGGGCTCCGCTGGTTACGAGGGAAATTCCTGGCAGGCCCACTAAAATTCGCAGAAATTCTGAATCCAGTTTTGCAGACGCCCTGGCTTGGAGGTGAATTTCCTTCCAGTGTAGTAAACTGGAGGTTCCCCCATACAAGGAAGAATGCATAGGCCTTTCCGCAGGATATTCAACTACAGTGTTATTATCGCTACACTTAATTCTCCTCAGTTTCCTCCTTATTTTTCCATTTTGGCGGTTTATTACTTTTGTTTTAAATGTGCACACTGTGCAATTGGGGGTGGGGGGAGAGAAAGGTTTAAAAACGGATTTCACTGGCCGTTATTATGCATTTTTACTCAAAAGTTCTGCTTACTTCAATGTTGCTTAGTGTCAAATGAAAAAAATGCAGAGGTAGGTGGTCTTACACTGTAGCTCGGTGCCTCTCTACTTAGAGGTAAACTCCTTTGGATGCCATGGAGTATATTCCCACGAAAGTGGACGGCGAATTGCCGCCTCATTCAGTTTTTAGATCTAGCTGGGTGAAATAAATCTTTAATAAACGTTTAACAAACATTTAATAAACATGCGCTACATGTGTGATGTGGCGGTTCAGAAAATGGAACACTAGAAATTCAGGTGTCCTGACGTGGGAGATTTTTGTTTTAAAATAAAGGACGAGATATAAGTGGAAACCATAGATACAGATATAGATAAACAGACGCCAGTAAGCTCAGACAATGAAGGCAGATAGAGGACAGCGTGCAAGGTAATTTTTTCACTTCACAATAATCTGCGAAAAGAAGGTTCAAGACCTGCTATAACTTTTCTTTCCCTTTCGTCCTCTATCTTAATCCTCCAGCCACATGCTGCAAAATCGGTGTAAGTGGGAGGTTTTAAGGGCGGGTCCATTTTCCTTGTGGTGTATAGAGAGCGCGCTGTGTATCGCACAGGAGGCGAGAAGGCGTTAACCCCATTCTGGACAGGAAAGAAATCGCGTGTGGAAATATTTACTGAATAAGAGAGTCTTAGAAAGAGGTAATGGGATGGAGCCGTAGAGGAAAATGGATGAAATACCTGCAGACACTTGAAAACATTCCCAACAATGAGATGGCCATTTCAAATATTATTTCACTTCCCTTGCGTCCACCTGAAAATACCATGTCAACGGCAGTAATTGTTACTTATTAGTGGATGAAATAGGTTTGTTTGGTCATGGTGAGTGGAGAATGTGCGAAAATGGGGCGAAACCTATGTGTTTTTCGGATTGTCTTGGAAATGTCCGTGGGAAGCATTATTTCGAGGTGGCAAAAGGAGGGAAAAGAATCGGTGGGGGTAAAAAGGCTAAGCATGTAAGGAGTGGTTTCTTGTTTCTTGAAAAGATCCTGTACTGTAATGAAATCCCCCTGACAAGCTAATTAGCATTTCTTTGGCTGTCAGACTGAGTCTAGGTAGTATGACAAACGAAATCGCCTCAGAGGCTAGAATGTGGCATGTGATATTGATTTGAGTGAAATAACATTTGAAATGGTAGAAAAGAGATCTAACGTCGTTTCGAGGGGAAGGCGGGGAGAAAGATTTCAGGTGCCTTTTTAATGCCAGGACTTGAAGCCAAAAACTGGAGGTTGAATCGAAATCGTTCCGAGGAGACCAGTGGAAACAGCCCACGACACTCCAAGGTGCTTGCTCGGGGTGTTGCGGGCTTTAATAGAATAGAAGAACAGTCTCTGACTGTTAAAAAAAAAAAACGAAAACGAAAAAAAAACACTACCTAGTTTAGGCTTCCGCGGATGGAAGGAAAATCTGTTGTTCCCAGAAATTAAGCAAGTGGAGGGAAATTGCCAATTCAGAAAGCATGCGCTCCAAACCTTGTTCTCAGAGTCGGGGACGTGAGGGTGCGGAAGAGACCCCTTAAATGAGTTAAGACGGGTCGTCGCCTGCTGCTCAAACCCGAGGTATTCCTGAGGCGTCCCTCCGGGCGAGGTCTCTTCCACACAAACTGCCCCACCCAATGCTCACCGTTGAGGAAGGTGGCAGAGGGTATCCACGGCCAGGTGCGGCTTGTGCTTCTCTGTGGGGCCTGTGTTTCCTGGATCTTAAACAAACAAAAAAAAATAAAGGAGTTCTCCTCACACACACGCACCCCTTTTCCTCTGGGCCCACACGGAATCCTCCGGGGGACTTCTATCCCTCCCCAAAGCCCTTATGGTCCACTTCATGCATCCGATGAAGTAGGGCTCTCTCTTCGAGGAAAGCTAAAGCCACAATAAAACGTGTTAATCTTTAAGGCGTTGAGGACGCTTTTGTTATTACTTCTGCAATTCTCTTCCCACTTCAGTAGCACTTTTAAGTGTGCAAGATCACTTTGCGATTCTCGGCACGTTCGAGACGACGGTACACACAGTCGCTCTCCCCCGACACTCGCACACACACCACGGAGAGGGGAACCCTAAATCCACTTGAGGCTCTCGGGGAAAATTTCTTAACCCGCTACCCACCTCTGGTGTCCGCACTGGCAAGAAAGATGAAATCGCGGGGAAAACAGATGGGAAGGCTGGAAGAGGAGACCGGAAGGGTTGGGCTGAGGATACCAAGGAGGGGAGAGGGCGCTTTTTCGCTCGGGGTCTTGGGCTGTGCTGTGGCCTTTCCCGCCCGGTTCCTCCATTGACGCGCTGCCTTTCTCCGTCTCCCCATCCCCTGGTTTTTTTTTTTTCTCCCCCGCGCAGGTCAAAGTCTGGTTCCAGAACCGGCGCACCAAGCAAAAGAAAGACCAAGGCAAAGACTCGGAGCTGAAATCGGTGGTGTCGGAAACGGCGGCGACTTGCAGCGTCCTGAGGCTGCTGGAGCAAGGCCGGCTGCTCTCCCCGCCGGGCTTGCCCAGCCTCCTTCCGCCTTGCGCCACCGGGGCCTTGGGCTCGTCCTTGCGCGCCCCAAGCCTCGCCAGCGGCACCGGCGGCTCAGGATCGGGGACGACGGGCGCCTCCCCGCACCAGCCGGCCGTCAGCACCACCGCCGCCGGCGGACCAGCCCGCCCGTCCCCTCCGGGGGCTCACAACCTCTTCAGCTTGCCGGTGCCTACCCTGCTGGGCTCGGTGGCCAGCCGGCTCTCCTCTAACCCTTTAGCAATGGCCGGCTCCCTAGCCGGGAACTTGCAAGAACTGTCGGCCAGATACCTGAGCTCTTCTGCCTTCGAGCCCTACTCCCGGACGGCCAATAAAGAAGGCGCGGAGAAAAAGGCGCTGGACTGACTCTCAGTGACTCTTCGTGTCTTTCTATTTATAGTATCTATTTGTGGCGATTATTTATGAGGTGTCCACGCGTTAGGTGCCCTCTCCTTTTATCCCGGCCTCGCCATTCTTCGCCCCCCCCACACACACACAGAGCTTCTCGACACGACTTGGCCGCCTGGAATCCTCTCTGTCTCTCTCTCTTTTTCCCGCCAACACGAGCGCATCAATGCCTCACCGATCTGACTTGGAGGCGTCAGATCAGTGAAACAAATCGATAACCAGCAACAAGGAAGCGACCCGCCATAGCCAGACCTTGGCAGTAAACAGACCTAAGGCACCAGACACAACATGCCAGGCACCGTTTGCTGGGTGGGTAGGCGGGCGGCCCGGGCGAGGGAGACCAAACTCCCTGCGTGTCCTGTCGAGGAAGGCCCGCGCTTCGTGGTCGTTTGGGAGAGAATGAAGGGAAGGTGGGAGAATGGCGGGAAAGGACAGAGCGGGAAAGAGGAGGTTTTGTTGTTTGCTGTGGTCGTTGTTTTGAAACAGGCACCTTTGACTTCACGTCGCGTCTCACAAAAAGCTGCGGAGAGGCTTTAGCGTTACTATTTTTTTAAGAGCGAGCGCGAGGAGAGTTTTTAAGCGGGAAGGATTGGTTGGCGCTTAAATGTGCGCGCGAGAGAGGGCGCGTGCACGTAAATGTACGCGCACGGGCACACGTCCAACCTGTGAGGTTTCGATTCCTTAGTACAGTATTGGCAAGAATCCTCACATACACCTCTGCCGTTTGTTTGTTTGTTTGTTCCGTTTCGTTTCGTTTTTGTTTTTTTTTTAAACAGGAAATGTTCCCTTTTGTCACTGCCGGTTAACCACAGCCCTGTGAAGGGGTGACTGGTCGCAGCCTCCCGCCCACGGCAGCAAACCCTGAAAGTCAGTTTCACCCACACCCACACCCCCCCACACACACACACACAAAATTCGAAACACAGAGCCCTCTGACACCGGCGGAAGGGCTCCTGCCATATTATTTCCTAAAGCCACATTATTTAGAAATCTGGCTCCAGTGAGACTTTCTCCTCGGCAAGAGTGTGTAGGACTGAAATCTCATTTCCAAGAGACTGGGGAGGGAGAGGGGACGAGGACACGGATTGCCCTTCTTTCAAATGCTACAGCGGTCAAAGGACTTTTACTTGAAGGATTGGCCCGGCAAGGCTTATATTTAAAAAAATTATATAAAAGTGACATCTGGGAACTTTTGTAACAAACCTCACAGCGCCCTCTCCCCAACAAACCGGCCCAAGCTTGTGGTTTTACAAACAAATGCTCGTCTGTGCTTCATCACGAAGCCCGGAAGCAGACTAAGTTAAAGCTGTTCTTCGGTATTTGAAAGCTTAGGCAGGAATGGGGTTTAAAAATTATCAGCAACGTATTCTTCCCTCCGATTTCAGTTCTACCTGCTAAAATAGACATGCTCTCTCTCAGTCACTCTCTCTCACACACACGCACACACCACGAACCCATAGGGCAGATTTTGCTGCATAGAGATGGATGAATATGGAAGAGGAAACCGGAACGCCTCGGCATCTCTACACCTTGCTGAAGTCCAATATTGACCTTCTCCCTATATACTGAACTTAAACAGCAATTTCCCCGATTGTTTGCCCTTTCTGAGTCATTTTGTTCTAAAATAGGCACCCTTAAATTAAAACCAATGCAAAACACAAGGAACGTATAGTGCGATTTGATTTTGTACTAAGAAACGCCACTGGAACCACCGTTATTTTCAACTCTCACCCTAAATTGTGCATGGGTTCCTGGATTTCCCTCCCCCCCTTTTACATTAAACTCCAGGACTTGGAATTTGCCAGCAAACAAAACAAACGAAAAGAAAATCAGCGTCTACTTTTGTTAGTTGTTATTGATTTTATTTTATTTTATTAAAAAATACACTTTTGGTACATTGCGTTTACAAGACTGTATAAAACATGTGCCATCAAACCTTTCAACCAAAAAGAAGAAGAAGAAGGCAAAAAGTGGGATGGTTGATGTAGTTAGTAGAACTAATTCTAGAGCAGACAGAGGGAGAGCGGGAGAAAGAGAACAGAACGAAAATTGTCATAGTCATTTTATTGTAAATTATTTACGTTTGAAGTTTCTAGACAAGTAGTTGAAAAAAAATAATGAATGAATCTGTGGGCGAAGGTGAGCTCCCTGCTACTAACCCTTGTTCTGAATATTTGGATGTTTTGTATTTATGTGGTGAGAGTGAAATATATTATATCTATACGATGACAGAATTAGTTCTTATTTTCGTTTTTTTGTTAAGTTTTGTGAATCATGTGTAAAAAGGGGGGAAGATGAGGAAAGTGGGGGAAAAGGATGTAACTTTTAACTAGTGGGTGTTCAACAATCAACTCTCTTCTTGAATGAATATTTCTGCTGGGCTTGTGCAATAGCATTCTTGTCAAGTGGGGAAATTCAGATCTTCAGTATTTGAATAATATTATTTACCTTGGAGGAAAAGGGATTTCTTTCTGGGAGTTTTAAAAACCCATATTCCAAATGCTGCACCGCCTTCTAACTGTAGGTATGTCTTATTCTTCATATGTTTTAATGTTTTATTCCGATCCGTTTCCCCCATGTCACCTAGGGACGGTTTCAGAATCTGCTCTTTCTTAGTCCTCAACTAAGAAAGAAAGGATATTATGGGGAGGGGGCAGTCTCTATAGAGAAACCATCAATGTGGGTCTGATCCTGAGAAAATAGCGTCTCTCTGATTCTTTCTACATCACTTTTGCGCCACACAAATCAGGAAAAGAGGGTGACAGTTTATGCGGAAATAAATAAACAATATACTATTTCAGTATGGCTCTCCTTAAGGATCCCAAGGAGACGGACAGGTTCTCCACTATCCTTAAAAAACTCCGCCACCCTGAGAGATTCACATCTGTTCGGTGAAAAGAGAACCCGTTTGGTTTCCAGTTAGTAAACGTAAGAAAACTCTCCTTTGAATTACATAAAAGGACAGAAGGTTTTCAGTGTTTATATATATAAAATTAACAACGAAAAACATGATTTTGAGATTGAATTAATTAATACAATTTTATTACAAGTTATGCATGTACAGTATGTAGTGGGTACTTCAGGAAGCACGATGAACCCAGGGTGCAACTAGCTTTTCACGGAATAATCTGCCATCTCTATTTTCAGCCCCATTTTGTCCCTTCATTGATACTGCTTTTTGAAGTTAAAAAAGGTCTCCAAAATCAAGCGGAAATCCCTCGTCCCTGTCGGATGAGACCCTAATAGTGCGGTTTCGAGCAGAGCTGCGAGAGACTAAAGTCCACAGGACTCACTAGAGGATGGGATGCATTGATTGGATCGGGCATTTTAGTGCAGGCACTTTTTATTCCTGTAGGTTAGGGGAAGGAAAATTGCCTTGAGGAAAAGAGGTGCTTAAAGGCAAAGGAAAAGACGAAAACTGCTGCCATCTTTTTAAAAATAGTAGCATAGTAAGAGTGATTCTAGACTTCTCTGGAAGAAAATATACCATACTCTGGAATGAATGGGATTTTAAATAAACATTATTTTTGAATGTGGGTTAAGGCATGAAACTTTAAGGGTGTAACAAAAATTTAGGAAGACCTTACTGCTAGCAGCGCTGGTAGTTTCTTAGTATAAATCTCTCCCTTCTTCATTCTTAGAATTATGAAAAGTGTAAAGGTGGCACTGGTCCTTAAGGTGCAGCCTGTTGTTGTTATTGTTGTTTTGTCTGCTACTGTATCTAAATTTATAGATATAAAGATGCATGTGTCTGCACACACACACAAACACACAGAGAGAGAGAGAGAGAGAGAGAGAGGGAGGGAGGGAGGGAGGGAGAGGAATTCTTTAGTAGCACAAAATCTTAATCTTCTCCTTCTGCTCCTCCCCCACCATTGCTAACCAGCTCCTCTGTAGTCAGGCTGGTCCCCACCACGTGACTAATGTACAATTGTGTAACGGCTCCAATCACATTGGTTGCCTGGATGACACACTCATTTCTAATATCACTATGAAGGGCACTATTGGTAATGCCAAGGAGTGGTGCTTTTCTGCTGTCAATTCAGTCTGGAGACCTAATGTTTGAGTTTAAGCTGTGGCAACCATATGGAAACCGATTGTCCAAAATGGTCTAATAAATTAGGACATTTCTCTGACCCATGTTTATGAATTTTTTTAAAAAAAAAATCCAAATTTTGATGCCACTTTAAATTTTCCCTGCATGAAGATGAATTCCACATAAGAAAGTATGTATTAGTGGTAGCATGAGAGCAACTTTTACTTCATTTAGAGATGAATGGGACAGGGCAAGTGGAAAGCACTTTGCAACATTACAAACACTGTAATAAATTTGTATCTTCTATATGAAAGTAATCTACATTTGGTAATAATGTCACGGGTCACTCTCAGGATGGCTTGATATGTTTCAGGCGTACTGTTCCTTTGTCTTAGATGCTTTTTAGGCCATTATTTTCTGGGAAGCAGGCATATTGGCTACAAAAAAACCCACATGATTATTATTATTATTAGTTTTATTTATATGCCACATTTCTCCCAACAAGGGACCCAAAGTGGCTCACATCATTAAAATTCACACAATTTAAAAAGACAATAAGTTAAATATTGAAAGCTGAATTAAACAATATACAATTTAAAATACGATTAAAAGATTAAAACATAAAACATATAAAAGATTAAAATTATCTACTAAAATGGGGTTCAGGGATTCAGTGAATGTTGTGAGACGCCTGTCTGAGGAGATGGGTCTTTAACTTTTTTTTGAAAGGAACAGTGAAGGGGCCATCCTGATCTCCCAAGGGAGACCATTCCATAGCCTGGGAGCTGCCACAGAGAAGGCCCTCTCCTGTGTCCCCATCAGCTGTGCTTATGTTGACAATGGGATGGAGAGGAGGGCCTCCTCCACTGATCTTAATTGCTGAGAAGGAGCATATAGGGAGATATGGTCCTTCAGGTAGCCTGGACCCAAGCTGTATAGGGCTTTGTAGGTAATGACCATAACTTTGAATTGGGCCTGGATGGACTGGTAGCCAGTGCAGTTCTTGTAACAGGTGTGTTATATGCTCCTTGTAGCTGGCTCCAGTCAATAGTCTCACTGCAGAGTTTTGCACCAGCTGAAGTTTCTGAACCATTTGCAAAGGCAGCCCCACATAGAGCATGTTACAGTAATCCAAACTGGATGTAACTAAGGCATGTGTCACTGTAATCTCTCTCTCTCTCTCTCCTATGATCTAGGTTGCTGGTAGGAATGGCAGAAATATGATCAATTTTGCTTTTTCCTGTGTTCAGGCTATTTGTTTTTTAACCTTAAGTTTTTTTCCATTTCAGATATGAATGCTATAGACACTGATAAATTCTCTAAAAATGAAATTATCCCTCATCTTCACAAGCCATATTCATCACGAACAACTATCTGTATAACAAAGACAATTGCTGCTGTACCTGCCTTACATACAGTTTTTTGCATTTAGGATTGTCTCGTGGGGGGAGGGGATCACCCTAATTCAGGACTAACATGGTTGAATACACATGGATTAAAAATAAAACCCATTCTTTAAAGAGTTTAGCTCTTAAAATCCACTGAACCTAGGTGGGCAGTTCATCCAGGTTTTATTATATTATATTTTTACTTCTGAAATGCTCTCCAGTCTG